TTTTAGGTACTGAAGGGTTCTAGGCAGGGAATTGGTAGTAGTGTTGCAATTTGGTTGGATTAATTTGTGTGGTTCTTCTATAACCTTCTCTGTCTATTATTGTTTGTCGTTTTAAAGAGGGTATTAATCCAACAGAATGCTGACCTGAATTTCCAGATTGCATGTCGTCAGTCACTTTTTTTTTTTTTTTATCATTTTCCATCACCTAATATATCTCCGATCCTGTCCTTGTTCGTGGCTGTTACATTTTGCTGTTAATAGGAATCTGGCAAGTATATTTCTATCATCAATATGTCAACAGTAACTTGAGATCCTAGCTTTGCAGCCAAAACTAGGTCGTTTCCTTCTTCCATTGCTATCTGTTCTGTCTCCTATTCTAAATTAGTGCTAATGCTTTTGTAATTCAAGACATCAGAATAAAAAATAAATAAAAATGCATGGAATATAGGGTTCCAGGGAAAAAGTTGAGGGAATTGATATGATTTGCTTGAATTAGTTCTATTTTGGATAAATTGGATAATTAGCATAGAAATTAAAAAGAAATGAAGAATTAACACAAGTAAAAAGTTTCAACAAAATAGTAAGAATGTCACGAATCAAAACTGCGATATTTTATTAATATTACAGTTTAGAAACATGATACGTAATTAATATTGTATTTTTAAATTGCAACAATTAATTAATGTCGCATTTCAAAACCACAATATTAATTAAATATCGCAATTTAGAACTACATCATCAATTAAATTCAATTAGTCATTCCATGAAAATTCCAACGACAAGTTTCCATTTATCTAAATCTAACCAAAAATAGTTATTATGAGATTTATTATTTAGTTTGTTAATTTTATATTTAATTTAGTCAATGATTTTAGAGGATAAGAAATTTTTTGTTTTTAACAAAATTTGAGCATGGAATGATAACTAAAATTTTTTCTAATTTAAAAGTATTTGCAAAGAATTATAATAACCAAACACAATAAATTCTTATATTTTATAATTACAAATGGACTCAAGAATGCAAATAAATAAAATATACAATTACAACTTATTAATAGCATAACTGCATTATACTCCTACTGTTATCTAAATGGTCTCATCCTTTTATCATAATATCATTAAGAGTTAAATTCTTTTCAAAGATATCAATCCCATTATGGCAAACGTTTAATCACCAAGAGATACAAATGTAACCTCTATTTTCTTTGTCAATATTACCAAGCAAAAATGTAGCTCTCAATCCTTTTATAGCAATTAATCAATCTAATATTAATAAAATATTAATGTTAAATTAAAATATCAACAAATAAAAATTAATGTTTAACATATATTAATTCTAAAAAAATTGATTGCTTATGATATTTTGTATTTGTTAAGTTTGTTACTTGTATTGCGTGTATATAGCTGGAGGGACTTGCTCGAGAACTGATGTGATGAGCTGACATGTAATACTCATATATTAGTGTGATGCTCATATTGTATGTATATAGTTGGAGGGACTTGCTTAAGATTCGATGCGATAATCCTGTTAGAGAATAATATAAATAATATCTTGAGACCTCATCTAAGAGTTTAAATTGTGGAGCGAGATGGTTCTTTGACATGGTATCAAACCAAATAGTCATGAGTTTGAATCTCATCATCCTTATTTATTTAATAAAAATTAAAAATAAGGTAATATGGACATGTGCAAATTTCAAACCCAAAAGACTTTCATTTGATGGAGTATATTAGAGAATAATATAAATTATATCTTGAGACCTCACCTAAGAGTTTAAGTTATTAGGTTGAGATGATTCTTTGATAAACCCGACACGTGATATTCATATACCAAATTGAATTTTGGTTGATTGAATGTAATTTTAACTGAATTGCATTATTCTAACCTTAATTGACAAAATTCAATCAAATTACCAAAATTTAACACAAAAGCATACTTGTCAAAAATTAAACATAATTCATGATATCAAATTTAATTGATATTTTCATGCTCAATTACATTAATTAAACTCAAAGTCATAGCAAATTAAAACAATTCAAAGAAAAAATCAAATTTAGCAACTTATCTACAATTTAATGCAACATATAATTTCTTATAATTCTACTACATTCATGCTTTGTTGTGTAAAATCATCAAGTATAGTTGATAATATTATTAACCGATTCCAACAATCCATACAAAATTCATAATTCAACAATTTATTCAAAATACAAAGCAACACATAATTAATTGAAATAATTAATTTTAACTTATTTTCATATTCAACTATATCAAATCAACCCTAATTAATGATATACATAACTAATTTATCATTAATTTAATAAACCCTAAATTCAATCTTAACCTTAAACAATTAATGATTTCATTTCAATTAAACCAAATATAAATTCATAATAATGTATCATATTTACTTTGCTTGTAAGACTAAAGAAAATGTGTATGGCAATGCTGGCAGCATCGGATTTCAACAACAAAAACATTCTAGGATGCTTGGAGATAAAATGAGTTTGATTTTTGTGTATTTTAAAAGTAAAAATAAAATAAAATAGGTGACTGATAGGGTTTCTAAAAAGAAAAAAGTTATAAACAATGGTTTTAAAAGAGAGAAAAAAAGATGCATCTTTCTGTTTATGTTCTTCAATCATATGATATGTTTAAATATCACAATATACATATTTTTAAAGTGTAAATATAAAGTTATTATAATTATAAAATGTAACATATTTAATTATTGATTTTCTATTTAAAATTATATAGAAGTAGTGGTTTAAAATATTTTTAATTTAAAAATATATTAAAATAATATTATTTTAGTTTTTTAAAATTATTTTTAATATGAACATATTAAATAATTTAAAAATACTAAAAAAAATTATTTTAAACAAAAAAATAAATTTTTTAAAAAATATAGTTTGTGTCATGTTTTCTAATAAACTCTATATCGTGCTTGTTTAAACTTCCCTCAAAATTTTTAAATTACTATGCTAATTTTTTTTATTTTTAAAATCAGTATTTTATACTTGAGTGATTCTCCATGTATATAACCCTGTCTACGGCCACAGTTTCAAAGAGAGCTGAATTTTCAGTTGGCATATATGTCATGTGATTTATGGAGTGCTCTTGAAGTTTGTGTTCATAGTTCTACTTGACAAATTTTCAATCCTGATTTGAACCTTTTTGTATCTGAAAATTAAGAGAGAGAAAAGGTCGGGTCTGAAGAAGAAGTAGATGTGTGCAAGGGCTTTGATTCCGTTGTTGATGGTACAAATTACATTATGAGCAAATAGTTAAGCTAGGTGGTTGCCTACCAACATTGATCAGTTTCCCACCTCCTAGTTGGTCGATGTCCCTGAAAAGTGTTTGAAGTAGAATATCTAAATCGATAACATGGAGCTGAAGCACGAATTGACAAGTCATAGCTAGCCCGAGCTGCAGGATCAGATAAGGTGGCATAAGCATTGTGGATATCTATGAAATCCTGACCATCACGATCTGAAGGAGTGATGTCTGGATGATGAAGTTTTGCCAGACTTCGGTATGCAGCCTTGATCTCAGCTTGGGATGCAGTTTGGTCGACACAGAGGATTTCGTATAGTGTATTTCTCGATGACTTTGCCTTCACCGGATCTGGACTGATAGTGGCTGCAGATGCTGTGACTACGAAGGCCCGAATCGGAGATTCAAACCCTGGACTCAAATGGCTGGGAGAGGAGCGGCAAAGCGAGGGTTTAGGAGGTAAGAAAGCGCTTCCTAACATTCTTTTGTATAGCTTGAAAGTACTTCTTGAATGGCAGGAAACGTTACAAGCAGGCCCAAAAAGGAGAAGCTTGAGTTTGAAGGGCTTTTGAGCATGGAACAGGAGGTAGAATATCTGAGGCACTTGGATTTGGACATGGACGAGCTTATTGGTTATAAAGAGGCAACTTAAGGAGCGCAAACAAGAGAGTGAAGCAGTGGGCGCCTAAGTTTTGGGTTTGGCAGTTTGGACTTTGGAGGGCTTTGGCACATGGTTTGGAGGGAGAACATCATCATGTGTTATCTTTTGTGATGGATATCTATGGATTTGCTGTTGTTTTATTATGTGTGTGGCATCACAGAGGGTCGTCAGAACAAAACGCAAATCACACCACGTCGCATCACATGAAACAAAACGAAGCTTTATCCTCTCTCCTCCTCCTTTACAAGCCAGAAGCAGCAGCCAGAAATGAAAATTTTGTGAGTTCTGAGTGGGGTTATATTGCATGTTTGGTATAAACTAGGAGAGGTACCCATTTGCTTATTGCTTGACATCTCTAACCTAGCAAAATGAGGACGAGATTTCACGTGCTTTGGATAGCTGTGCCTCTTTTCAAACGCAAGCTTGGCTTTAAACACCCTAGCGCTGGATGAACATGATAAAAGTGTCTGACACTTTACACCCAAAAAGAGAGAGAGAGAGACCCTAGTTTTATCTTTCTTTAAGTTATGGTTTTGCTGATTTTGCAACCAAAAAAAAAGAAATTCCAAGCATTTCCCAAATTCCAAAATCACATCTTGAGAGAGAGAGAGAGAGAGAGAGGGAGAGAAGCCTTAAAGCGTCTGCCAGTGGATTTGCTAGATGCCATTTCAGTGAACAAGTCACATCAGCTTTATCATTAATGATTTCACTAAAAACTTGCTGCTCTTCTAAAATTCAATTTTAAATTAATGAGGAGAAGTCCCGGTGAAACGACCTTTTTTTTCAAATGACTTTTTATATTAAAATACATATTAATAATATTCTTTTATTTTTTAAAAATTCTTTTAAAATATAAAAATAAATGTACTATAAATTAAAAGTTAATGTGTTGTATGGGTAAATATTCGAGGAGTGTGCGAAACAAAAAGGTTAATTTTGGTGAGAGTTCTTTTACAGGTCAGGGAGTGTTGTCTGTTGGGTAAAGTGTCCATGAGGTACTATAAATTAAAAGTTAATGTGTTGTATGGGTAAATATTCGAGGAGTGTGCGAAACAAAAAGGTTAATTTTGGTGAGAGTTCTTTTACAGGTCAGGGAGTGTTGTCTGTTGGGTAAAGTGTCCATGAGGCCGTAAGAAAGAAAACCTACAAGCATGAAGAGGTCCAACCTTGGATTTTTGTAGAATAAACCATTATATATCACATCAATTATCACTTTTGTCTCAAGGTAAGATTCTCTCAATTTTAGATAGATTAACCCTTTTACAGCTCCCTGTTTTGGCTTGAACGGGCTGGAGCTTTAAAGACATTACGCTTCAATTGTAAATCTTCTGGTCATCCTGTTTGATGATTTGCCTGGACTGACCAAAGCTTTAGAGATATGACCCACTAGAGGCATTTGGTATGGTCCGGAATTGTCCGGACAGAGCGGGGGCTTTGGAGATATAATCCATGTGATGGAACCCATGTAGGCATCTTGTTCGGTGAGTGGCATGCGGTTCCGGGCATGTGAACTGATTAGGCGAAGATGGGTGACCTATGGTTCCTAGCTAGATGATCAGCCAAGGTGCAACTCAAGATTCGATACTCTTTTGCGACAGGACATGACTTTAGGAATTTTGTGTGATTTCCTGTATAGTAATAATAATCAATGATTGATGGAGCTTATACGACAGCAATGTAAAAACAATGCAGGTGCAAGAGAAATCTGTCACAAGTTGCTAAAGAGATGCTCCCATTTGAACAAACTCAATGAAGGGAAGATTATTCATGCCCTCCTTCTCAATTCCAGATTCAGAGACGATCTTGTTATGCAAAACACCCTTCTTAACATGTATGCGAAATGTGGTGATTTGGTTTATGCACGTAAACTGTTTGATGAAATGTCTAGTAGAGATGTTGTCACTTGGACTGCTTTGATTACTGGGTATTCTCAGCATGATAGGCCGCAGGATGCGCTTCTTTTGCTCCCTGAAATGCTAAGGATTGGAGTGAAACCCAATCAGTTCACTTTGGCTAGTTTGTTGAAGGCGGCTTCTGGGGTTGGGTCTCCTGATGTTTTGCAGGGTAGACAGCTTCATGGGCTTTGTTTAAGGTACGGTTATGATTTGAATGTGTATGTGAGTTGTGCTATTCTGGATATGTATGCTAGGTGCCATCATTTGGAGGAAGCCCAGTTGATATTTGATGTTATGGTGAGCAAAAATGAGGTTTCTTGGAATGCTTTGATTGCTGGCTATGCTAGGAAGGGTCAAGGAGACAAGGCTTTTTGTTTGTTCTCGAACATGCTGAGGGAGAATGTTAAACCTACTCACTTTACCTATTCTAGCGTTCTTTGTGCTTGTGCTAGCTTGGGGTCATTGGAGCAAGGGAAATGGGTTCATGCCCTTATGATAAAATGGGGTGAAAAGCTAGTTGCTTTTGTTGGAAACACTTTGCTTGACATGTATGCAAAATCAGGCAGCATTGAGGATGCAAAGAAAGTTTCTGATAGGTTGGTAAAACGGGATGTCGTTTCTTGGAATTCAATGTGTACTGGATATGCTCAACCTGGACTTGGGAAGGTAGCTTTACAAAGGTTTGAAGAAATGCTGAGGATTAGAATTGCTCCTAATGATATAACATTCTTATGTGTTCTTACTGCTTGTAGCCATGCGGGCCTTTTGGGTGAAGGACGTCATTATTTTGACATGATGAAGAAATACAATGTAGAACCACAAATTTCACATTATGTCACAATGGTTGATCTTCTTGGTCGAGGTGGACATCTTGATCGAGCCATACAATTTATAAGTGAAATGCCAATTAAACCCACTGCTGCTGTCTGGGGAGCGTTGCTGGGTGCTTGTAGGATGCATAAGAATATGGAGTTAGGTGGTTATGCAGCTGAACGTATTTTTGAACTGGATTCTCACTATCCAGGTACCCATGTATTGCTCTATAATATATATGCATTAGCTGGTAGATGGAATGATGCTGCTAAAGTGAGAAAGATGATGAAAGAAAGTGGAGTGAAAAAGGAGCCTGCTTGTAGTTGGGTAGAGATGGAGAATGAAGTCCACGTGTTTGTGGCAGATGATGATGCCCACCCACAGAGAAGAGAGATCCATAATATGTGGGAGCAGATTAGTGATAAGATTAAGGAAATTGGTTATGTTCCAGACAGTAGCCACGTGCTTTTGTGTATGGACCAGCAGGAGAGGGAAGCAAAGTTGCAGTACCATAGCGAGAAGCTTGCTCTAGCCTTTGCACTTCTCAACACACCTCCTGGATCCACAATCCGCATAAAGAAGAATATCAGAATTTGTGGTGATTGCCATTCAGCATTCAAGTTTGTGTCCAAGCTGGTGGAAAGGGAAATCATTGTCAGAGATACCAATCGGTTTCATCATTTTTGTGATGGCGCCTGTTCATGCGAGGACTACTGGTAGTGCTGGTTATCAAGAAATAACTTATTGAGTTATGAAGGTAGAAAGTTAAATAATGTGGTTGTTAGTCTTTTGAACTTGATGGGAATAGACAAGACATTTACGTTCTTCATCTCCGAACAAGGAAGAGGAATCCTTGGCATTTGTTGTCCACTGGCAGCGTAAGGAGAAATTACTTGAGCTGTTCGGATACATTTATTCTCCTATGACAATCCAAGTCACATAACATATCTAGGCAGAGCAAGGTGGGGGTTGGTGGGGTTGTGTGCAAATTATAGGATCGAACTCGCGGAAAGACATCAAGAGTATGTGTTGGGTAATGAATGCAAGAGCACAAACACAAGACGGTTCTTATTCAAACAATGCAAACTCCGAGCTGCTCTTTGATGATGATACCATGAAAAACTTCGTGAAGAAAGTTTAAGTGGACTACTATAACACCCTTAGTTGAAACAGATCAGGGAATTTACTTACATGAATAACAAGAAGAGAATCTGCGAAAAGAGATTGACCAAAACAAAAGAAGAGTAGAGAGGGAAAGAGAGAGAGCAGCAAGAGAATATGCAGAAAGTGATCGAGTAACATTATCTTTATCTGTGACCAGCCAATTTCAGGTGCTGAAGCAATATCAATGGCTCCCTTAACCTAATTAAAGCATGTGTAGATCTAACTTGAGAAAATGAGACAAATAAATGAAATATAGATTATATCCAGTATTCTTAAGTTGAATTTATCTAGCCGTTCTGTTGCTTCTATCAATCATTATTCTGATAACATCCTAAACTTGCTGCCAGGCATAATGTTCTGTACGTCCATTTAACTTTGCTGTGCTTGTGATGGATTGAACACTGCTTGAAAAGAAAGGTGCTCTTCTCCTCAGAAATGAAATGTTCCAGCATCATATCAGTACTCAATTTCTGCCTGCAGCATCATAAAAAATTAACAAGCAACAGGCACCTGGGTCTAAAAATAGAGTATAAATAAAGATTAGACGAAAGGATGAGATTTGAAAAAAGGGAAGGAGAAAGGAACGCAAAAGGAGGAAGCAACCCGTTTTTTTAATTGTTGTGCCGTTTCTGCAGCTGTAATAGAGGGGGAGAGAAACAAAAGATGGTAGAAGGCGTGACAGAAGGGCGTGTCTATTGTGATTGTGGTAAAGACGGTTCTTGCTTAAAATGGCGTGGCGTGTGAGCAAAGCTTGATCATATCATCAAAATATTCTTTAGCTAACAACTCCAAGCACCACCAAATACTCCCGTTTCAGAAAAGATTAGGAGGTCCCCCTCCTTGAGCCCTCAAAGAGGTAAGATACAGAGAGTCAGAATAGAGAAAGAGCAGAAAAGATTAAAGTTCAATTTTAAATTCTCGACACAATGATTTGATTGGAACTGTGATTTGTTTATTTCTCTAGTTCTTTACTGTATTAACATGTTCTTTTAAGAAGAAAAAAATGATTTAGGAGTGCTGTTGCTTAGTTTCCGGAACTCCAATATATCATCAATTCAACATGCATCTTTCATTTCATTTGAAGACTCGGCCTTTTCTTTGAATTTTGTATGATGAGCATATTTTATCTCCTTTTTTAACCCATGATACTGCATCAGATTCTGTAAAGTGATCACAACACTAGTAGTTTCTTCTACGAATGTCAGGATACATGGGATTGTCAAATCCTTTGGTAGAAAGTCTTGTGATGCGGCCATCTCTACAAAAAAGTACAAAAATAATGCAAGTTGATCTCAGGCGCGCACACAGGGTAGCAATAACATTATTTATGAAAAGGGAGATCTGGCAACCATGAAAAGGACAACAATTAGGTGCCGTTTGTTTACGCGCCTGTAGCTGCGTTTTAATTAAAACGTGATTTGCAGTCGTTTGATAAAGAAAAAAATCAATTTATTATTCATGTTGCAGTCATTTGATAAAGAAAAAAATCAATTTATTGTTCATGGGTTCCACATAACTTTTACGTTTAAAATTTATTATTCATGGGTTCCACATAACTTTTACATTTAAAACCCAGTTAACAAAAAACAGATAAATGCTGCTTTTCATTCACTGTACATGTTAATTGCACCGAGTTAACAAAAAGCAGATAAATGCTACTTTTCATTCACTGTTAATTGCACTGTTCAGTAAATATATATTTATTATATAATAAAATATTTTATATAAAGTATTATTTATTTCCACATGTTAATTGCACTGTTCAGTGAACATGTATTTATTATATAATAAAATATTTTATATAAAGTATTATTTATTTCATGATATAATAGGAGTAATTAATTTTATAATAGTTAAATTTAAAATCATTAATATTAATATATATTTTTAAAAATTATTTTATAACTTCAATTTCAAAAGTTTTTTTAACCAAATACGTTAAATTACTTTTTCTTAAATTTCAATTTCAACCACAGTTTTAACCAAACATCTATTTTTTCAAATCAATCTCAACTAAAAATACTTTTTATAAAACAATTTTTTTTAAACCACAACCACAACATCTACCGCAACACCAAACACACTCTAATAGTAACAATGTGAGGCCCGTGATTTCTTTTCTTTTATTTTTTAGTCTTATTCCATGAGTTAAGTTAATTATTATATTTAATTGTTTGTAAAGGTTTATGTGAGAATAATTGATAAGTTAGAGGTTTGTTGAATTAGTTTGTGTATATGTAATTACATATGCATATAAACATGGATTGATATAGATTATGAATAATTACTATGTGTTTTTTTTTAATTAAAACACCTTGATGTATTTTGGATAAAATCCAAGGAATAACATAAGATAGATTTTGATGGATAATTGAGTTTTATTATGGTATTATCAAGTTTTATGGTTTTATTTTTGTTGCAGGTTGTAAATAGCACATAATTAGAAAATAATACCTAATATACATTGAGAAAATAATAATAATAATATGGAAATGGTTCTAATATATGTATTATTCATAAAGTTGATATTAACATATCGAAATTGCATAGTTTAGATAGGGTAGTTAATCATTTAATCACATCTAATTCAAACAAAATGCTATTTGTATTTATTATTATACATATATTAGTATTATTTTCATATTAGTATTATTATCATATGTATATACATATTAGATATTATTTAATCATGATATGTAACAGTAAACATCAATATCCATCAATTACATATCAGAATTACTATATGAGGTTTCAAAAGTATCTAAACACATATTATCGTAAAATAGCATCAATTTTCAATTCAAAAGGAAACCATAAAACTTTGATAATACACTACAATAGAACTCAATTGTCTATTAAAATATATCTTAAAAACTATTATCTATAATCAAAGACCGTAATTTTTTAGAATTTAGAGGTAAAATCCTAATTTTTTAGAATTCAAGGACCAAGCTAAAATTCTGCCATTTTCAACTTCTTAATAGATTTTCCAGAATGTTAATATGATTCTTTCTATACAATTTTTCAACAATTCCTTATTTTCTTTCCTACATCCAAATTTCTTAGATTTTACCCAAAGTACATAAGGGTAATTCAATTAAATAAAACCACATGATAATTATTCATAATCTAACTCAATCCATATTCATATGCATATTTGATTATCCATACATAAATTAATTCAACAGAAGGAAAAGATTTGTACAGCATGTTAGAAAAGAAATCCCTAACTGGATCAACTTCTTGAAGTTAGAGAGTTCTTAGATGTATTTCCTGATGATTTGCCTGGTTTGGCACCTGTTGGAAAGATTCAATTTTGCATTGACTTAATTCCCCATGCACATTGAACCTGTATATCTATGGCACCATCATAATTAAATGAACTGAAAGGTAAATTGCGGGATTTGATTGACAAAAATTGTATCCGTCCCAGTGTTTCCTTTTAGGATGCATCAGCGCTGTTTGTGAAGGAAAAGATGGTTCTTTGCGGCTTTGTATTGATTATGAACAGCTGAATCGAATGACTATTCGTAACATGGCATGTCTTGCAAAGTTCAAGCTGAAAGGATTATGGATGGTCAAGTGCAAAGACTTTGCTATAAAGAGATTTTATCGGTGAAAGTGACTTGGAGAGGTCACTCTGATAAAGAAGTAACTCGGGAGGAATTAGAGGAAGATGCGCGTCGAAAATACTTATATATATGTTTGAAAAAAGCCAGCGCGTCCACGAGTTGAATTCGAGAATGAAGTTTTTTTAATATATATATGTGTGTGTGTAAGTCTTAGCTCAGCCCATAAGTTTGGCACAAGTCTTGGTATATTCCAGTATATTTCCTCATGCTTCACCGTACATCAAATTATTTTTTTCTAAATTTATAAAAAAATGTTGAGTGTAAAGATTTTTATGATAATATTATTAAATTCAATAAAATAATTCAACATTAAAATCAATCAATCCAGCTTTTTAACTAATTCAAGTTTTGATTAAATCATCTAAAAAATAACATGAATAACAGCTAAAGACATGGTATAATTTTTTTAAAAAACTTTATAATAATTTTTTTATATTAAAATGATGATAGAGTGGATGATCTCGGTCATTCTATTCTATGATCTAAGTCATGAATTTCAATAAATTTAATAATTTTTTTTATTTTTATAAATTATTTTTATTTAATTTTATGATAACATTATATATTTTTAAAATTGAGTATTAACTCTAAAAAAATATTTTTTTAAATTATGATAACTCTATAAAAAATTAAAAATATCAATCATAAATTTTATTTTTCAACCAATTTAAAATAAGAGTGAAAAGAAAATAAAATAAAATTTAAAATTTAAAAATAAAAAAAATAGATTTAATGGATAAATCCACTAAACCCACTGCATTTTCTGGAGCTCCCCGCGCCAAAACAAAGGTGCCCCGCGGGCCTAGCTCAGCTAACGCTATATTTTTTTTTCTCTTATTGGCGTTATTAGAACTCACTGCACTTGTTATGTTGCGATTTGTGTCGTGGCAGCTATGCTCCGGGCGTTATTAGAACTCACTGCACTAGTTATGTTGCGATTTGTGTCGTGGCAGCTGAAGTTGACAGTGTTCTTGTCCTTTTCCATTCTCTGGGAATCCCCTATAAGAGAGAGATATTAATTAATTATCAGTTTATGGGAGCTGCTGTGATTCTTCTTTTCTTGCCCAACCGCACTAGATTCATTTATCCATGGATGGGACAGCAGAGTCATGTGCACGAATGCAAGGCATGCTTTGTAGAGGACAAAGGAGGTAACCTTTAATTCTATGCGTCTTTTTTTTTTTTTTACCATCTGCCTTGTTAGGGACACGCGCATGAGCTTGTAAGATTAAGGTTGTGCTCCTGGATTTCTTGATTTCTTTCTTTCTTTTTTAATAAGATGGATGATGTGTCTTCTATCAATTCTGATTCCAACTATTGTGGGGTTTATAGTTATTGGGTTCGAAATACTTATTTTTAATTTTCTTTTACTTGTAGAAAACTAAAAGAAAATAAAGTTACTCTTAATCCAATCACACCCTCCAAAATGATCCTAAAGCCCAACTTAAACTAAATAGAAAAAGACCTTTCCAAACTCCCAGCAAGATGAAAAAATCATCACATCTGTAAAACTCTCCAAAAAAACATTATTGAATCAAAATCGAACCTTTCTGTTGGTGGAATGTACGCGACCGATGCTTTTTTTATTCTTTTTAATTTTTAATGATCTTCTATCTCCTATCTCAACACTCAAAAACTAAAATATAAAAAAAAATCAAATTTAGGATCGAAACATCCTAAAACTTAAAAAATTAGACATAAAATTCTAAAAGTTTTAGAACCAAATAAATGTGAACCGAAAATCCAAGTATCAAACTAAATTTTTCTTTGGTTATTATTCTTTCTATTTTTTAGCTATGATGTTAAATTCAATTTTGTAAAATTAATCTATAATTGAATATTGAGATTTTTTTTCAAACATTTTGCATAGGTGAGAGCATATAACAAATAAATGTTGTCAACAAAATATCTAAAGATAAAATTAAAAAGATAATAAATAATCAAAATAAAAAACTGCCCTTCATAATTAAAATAGAAGGAATGAATAGTAATTCACAATGTTTTTTTACATATTATTTTAGTTTATAGGTAATACTAGTTTATAAATGATGATATATTGTGGATCATATTAAAATTATTTGAATATAAAAATAATTTTTAGAACTCAAGAAATTAAATTATTTGATATTATTATTAATTTAACTGAGTTAGTGAGGCAACTATAAAACCTCCTAACCCAATTTCTTTTATAATTCATATTTAAAATTAAATTATATAGAAATTGCTTTAATATATTTCAGTCGATTTAGTGGATCCAAAGTCAATCCAAATATGTTTGGATTAAAAAAAATTAAAATGATATCTTTTTTATATATATTATGATGCTGACATATTTAATTAACTCGAACGACACATCAAACCAAAATAAATAAATAAAACGTTCAAATTCAAGAAAATATTGATAGATAAGATTAAAAAAAATAATAAAAATAGATAAGAGAGAGGGGG